AGTTCGGTCAATTTTGACATAATTGTGAAAAGCACGATATTGACTCACTTTCATTTTTATTTTATTTTTTTTGAAATACATTTTCATTTCTTCTTTTTTTTCGAAAACTTTTGCAGAGTTTCGAGGCATTTTCAAATACCGAAATTTTCAGAATCGGGTGAATTCTCTATCCTACCTCACTCTTGGTTTTTCTCTTGATTTCCTTTCCCTAGCGGGTCAACATGCAAGCCGAAACAAATAAATATTCACATAGCACGTAGGATGCATCAGGATGGTCTTTATTTTGGGTACATATGTCCTAGACGGACTCAACCCCTGTGTTGAGTCCCCAAGGTCAAATGAACGTGATGCAAATAAACGTTCCTACTAGGGATCCGGCATGAGGTTATGTTATTCTAAGTTTAAACCTGGGGTTGTGTTCTAAACCTGGCTTACCCGAGCGGACAAACTCGAGTCAATGAGGGGGCAATGTACCGGGAGCACGAAAGTCTGTCCGGCCTTATTGCTTGTCCAGCCTCGTTCTATTTGGTATAACTCTAACAGAAAGGTGGGCCACGTGAACGTGAGCACCGTTTTTAGAAGACTCTGAAGGGAGGCGTAATAAGACATTTAAATACAGTTTAATTAATATCAAAGCGGCAAATGATAATTAGCACATTAAGTCCACAAAATACAGTAATATCAACAATAAAGCCAAATAAAAATCACATTAACAAGCTCTAATTCTTGAACCCTAAACCAGAGATTCGGGGTTCGTTCCCCAGCAGAGTCACCGGAGCTGTCACACCTCCTTTTTTTACACCCGAAGGTATATGGGAGTTTTTTCAATTAAAGTAACATTAATCGAAATGGGATTATTTTATTTAATTTTTTCAGAGTCGCCACTTGGAATAATTTATTTGGTGTCCCAAGTCACCGGTTTATTTTAAATCTCAAATCGAGAAAATTTTCGACTTTATTTAAAAGTCTGCGAACCAAAAATTCTAGATAAGGAATTATGTTAACCCGGGAGAAGGTGTTAGGCATTCCGGGTTCTGTGATTCTAGCACGGTCGCTTAGCGATTTATACTTGGCTTAAATTATTGAACTACTAATTTTAGGACCTATGTACATTTATCCCTTTAACCGCTTTTAGTTGCTTAATTATTCGAATTTTGAAATTATCTTAAAAAGAGTCACGCGTACGTGTACTCATTTTGTTTTGCGCGTCAAAAATCATGTCACGCGTATGTGTTCACAATTAATCATACTTTATTAATATTAAGATTATTTGGCCAAAGTCACGCGAACGTGTACCTCGATTTATTTTGAAAATTATAATTATATCACACAAACGTATACATAATCACCATGATAGACTAACATTTACACATGATCAAGTTAAAAATAGCACTTTTTACAACTAAAATTTCACTAGTCCGAGCACAGAAAAACAAAAAGAGCACAAAATTGAGGAAAATCCAATTAAGAAATTCAAACTTTGCTATTAAAACATATCACAGTGCCAAGAATCAAATCAGCAACAGCACAACAAAAGCATCTTTAAAATATTATCGAAAAGCACGAATAGAATAAACTTCCAAATGACAAAATACTTCACACTTTTTATATATAGCCAACTAGATTATAACGACAGCTTTGAAAGATACTCTACAGTAATCAAAATCACCAAAAACTTATCTAATTAACTCTATCAACGGATAATTTATAACTCAAACTAAAGAAAATGAAAGCAACGGGAATTCCAACCAAACAAACACGCTGACAATCTCAAACACACGCGCATTAAAGATTTCATTTTATCAAAATTAATACTGAAGATTGAAGAGAAGAACAAGAGTAATAAATGGACCTTTTGTATTTAATAGGAATCTCCAAGCCAAATCTTTAACAAAGCATCTGAGAAATGAGACAGAGATCGAGAAGTTGGCGACAAAACTTTGACAAAATTTGGACAGCGACAGGAGCTTGCGAGCAGGACCTCGAACGGAAAACCTTTTCGGCCACCTCGACCATCCTTGTCTGCCGACGATTTTTTGGGTAGCTGGACGCCGGATTTATGGCTGAAATTTGGGCTGTTATGCAGCGTTTCTGGGCTGTTTTGAGGTGGTTTTAAGGTAGTTTTGGGGATGATTTAAAGATAAAGTCTGGAGGTGTTTCAATGGAGTTCTTGATGAAGTTTGAAGGCTGGTTTTTGGCTGAAGAAGCAGTGTGTTTCAGCTGCAATTTTGAAGCTGTTTTGGGGCTATTCGGCAGATTTTTTGGCTGATTTTCGTTGGGTAATTGGGGCTGTTTCATGGTGTTGGGCGAAACTGATTTTGGGGTCAAAATAAGGCAGTTTGGATGGTTTATGGCTGGATTTTGGAGGTTCTTTCAGCTCGTTTTTTGGAGCAATTTTGACGTTGGTTTGGGGTCTTTTTGATGAAGCTTAAGGTAATGCGTATTGTGGTCCGGCCCGGCCGGGCTGAGGCGGTCTCGGGCCAAACGGTCTCAATGCATGGAATTGGCCCGCGATGGTCCTAAGCTCACATGGTCCCGAGGCTAAATGGGTCAGGCCCGCGGGCCTAACGGGCTTTTCCATTTCAGACTATTTTTTTAAATTTTGTTTTATTTAAGGCACTTTCTTGTAAACTATATATGTATATACTAGTATAAATTGCTTATATATAGTTATATAAATATATATAGTATATATAAGGGTGTATTATGTGTATAATATAATTACATATTGCCTTATGTAATATATATATATATATATATAGTTTATAAGTATTAGATATATATATAGTAATCCAGCATATCATCCCTAACAATTTCAGCATAATCATGAATAGAAAATTTATTTTTAATCAGGTTATCAATGATTTCTTCAATTATCAATTCAATTATG